GCCCGGAGGCGCGGGTGCCCCCCCCCCCCGCCGCCCCGACTGCAGGCTGTAGCTGGAGAGCTTCCTAGGGGGCGGCCCGCAGCACTGGGGTTTTGGACCGGGAAGAGGCCCGAGCTGCGGAGAATGGTCTCACATCTGCAGTGTGACCCGTCGGGGGAGGAAGAGGCAAGAGCTAGTAAAGTTCCGTGAGAGAGAGAGAGAGGGGGGGGTTAAAACCTCTCCTGCCCTACGGCATCTATCCAAACCAGGTGAAGGTCAGCACAGTTGCAGGAGCTTTGTATATTGATTGTCAGAGGATAATGCTGACTCCTTTTCCCCACCGACCCTCCTTTCCCCCATTTTAAATAGCAAAGGAGCCCCCCTCAGCACTCTTCTGGTCGTGCATGAAACAGCCTGGCTAATATTTGTCATGTGTGCCTCATTCTTGAATGTGTAGTGTAATGTTTTGTTTTATTAATTATATGCAGCCTGTGCTATGAGCTAGCAAAAGCATCGTCAAATAAGTTCTAGTGATGCTTGTAACCGAAGGTGGTGAGATCAGCAATGTTTTGTTGATCCTGTGAGAGTCTGTTCTGCAGGCTTGGATCAGTCCCAGAGAATTTGCAGTTGCCTATACAGATTCATTTTTTTTTCTCTTGCAATGGACTGCTGCAGTGTGTCCCAGGAGTGGAGTTTGTAATACTGAGGGAGGGAAGGAGGCCCCTGCTGGGTTATATGCGGGGGACTGGTGTGTGTAACTGATAAGCCAAGACCTAATTTCCCACCCAGATATATATTATTTGTTCCTCTCTCTCTCTCATATATCTTTTGTGCCTCATATCTCATCAAATATCTTAAACTGTTTTATTAACTTTGTTATAAAGGTAAATTAAAAGCTGTTTCCTTTACAGGTAAAGATCTTTCATCCTCTTGAGGTTCAATCCCTTTGGAATTAAAGCAGTTGCTATAGAATTGGGCAATGCCAGTGTGACTCTAACCTCACTTCTCTCTCATTCCACTCATTATAGCAAAGAGAGAAAACAGGAACTGGCATTATGTCATCTTACACGAAAAGCTGTAATCCATTTGATGATGATGACGATGACAATGAAGGTTTGAAGCCCAGGAAGTGGAATTATGGCAATGACAACTTTAATGGTTCTCTTTTTCTCATTTATGAATCTGAGCAAGTTGGAGTAGCTACATCAGAGGTAAATTATTTATTTCTGTCAATAAGGGCTGGAATTAAACTTTACATAAATGTCCTTTTGATTAATTTAGTCACATATCAGATTGACCCAGAAATATTAAACAGATATCCAAATTGTAAATATTTAACCATCTATGTAACTTTCCACAGTATAATATCATGGGCTGGGATGTAAAATAGTGATTAATTAGTTAACCAGTTAAACATTAAGTTTAATCAGTTAACCAGGGCAGGAGCATCTCACCCTTCCCCCACCCCTATTCTGCCCCCTCCCCTCCCCTCCCCATCTGCAGACTGGGGTTCCTTTAGCCAGGAAAGAGCATTCCTTTAACCACCTAGGGCACAGCAGGCAGGGAGGCTACTCCACTCCCACCTGCTAAGAGTGAGGCTTACTGGTTAAAAATTCACATCCCTAAGAATGGGGCTAATGGAGTGCAGAATACAAGTTTTGATTGTGACAATTCATTTCATGCTGGGTGGCTTCAGTATTATTGATCCTTATTGCTCCACTGGTCTTATTAAATGTCTGACCGTGTACACAACCTTCTAACACCTGAAACCAAGGGGGTGGGGGGAAAGCTGGTAGTGGTGTCTTGTGGAGTTTGTTTGTTTTAAAGAAATCTAAGGTCTTGAGGAAAGCATGCCTGAGTTCTTGCAGTAAAGCTTTCTTCTATGGGATTTGAGATTCTTATGACACCGGTCTGATGTGTCATATTTCAGTAAAAATGCCAATTTAAAATTAGCAAAATATGTTTAGGTATTCTGTTGCCACAATTGTTTAATAAAAACTGTTGTCCTATCTGTGTTAAGTCTGACAGATTTCTGTTTCCTCTTAAATTATGTCCTGAACTAATATAGCACACTATGTAATGTTCTTACACTCCTTCCTGTTAATCAGGGTGGTTTCCCACTGCAGTAAATTGCCTTATGAAACTGTGGAACTTTCATTGCTGGAGATTTTTAAAAACAGGTTAGACAAACATCTGTCAGAGATAGTATAGACGTAATACTTAGTCCTGCCATAAGTACAGAGGACTGGATTAGATGAAGGGATCTTGAGAACTCCAGTCTTATGATTTCCTTTACGCCGATGGGGATAGTCGCTAATTTGGTCTTTTGGGCTGCCTCATTTGTCGAGGTAGGATGTTTATTCAAATGGTAGTAATTTGTGTATATTATCCTGAGGGAATATATGTACAAAAGTCATATAATTGTCTATAATAACTTAAATGACTTGATTTAGATAATGAACTCTTCAATATACACACCTTAAGAGGAAATAATAAAAATTCTCTTAATTGTGGAATGAAAAATCCAACCCCTATCACAACTATTTGGTCATTTTGGGAAAGCTCATAAATCTTATCTATCGATAGTTAGTCTCTAAAGTGCCATAGGACTACTCCATTGTTTGAAAATCTGACCAAAGTTTGGGGAGTAGGCCTGGTTTGAAGTTAATTGTAGATTGTCTAGTCCAGGGGTGTCCAAACTTTTTTTCAAAGAGGGCCAGATTTTATGAAGTGAACATGCGTGAGGGCCGACCATTTTGCCTGACATTCTTTGAACCATTAAAATTAAACACAAATTAACTATTTTATGCAAAGTTTATTGCAAACGGCATACTTTTCATTTCGTCACATGGATGACAAATCTAAACAGGTGTTAAATCACTCTGCCTTTCATATCTGAAGGCCAGATGAAAAAAAAAATCCAGGAAGCTGAAATATGTCAGGAACATTGTAAAGTACATTACATATTATTGGTAATAAAGGTTGTCTGTCAACTTTTAAGTTCAAAAAATATGAACAGGAACATAACACCAAGTATACATGTTGTGTCCAAATATATTTATAACTGATTTAGACCAACTGACATTAACTGAGATTTTACAATGTATTCATCTCAATACATATGGATTCGTTGGGGGCCATAAAAGATAGATATTGCCAAATTACCTGTGGGGCCGTATTAAACCGGAACACAGGCCGCAATTGGCCCGCGGGCCGGACTTTGGACATGACTGGTCTAGTCCAAACTGGTTGCTTGAGTGGGAAACAAGATAAAAAGAGACACTGTGGCTACGTCTACACTGGGTTCTCTGCTTTGTCTCACAGGCTACGTCTACACTGGCCCCTTTTCCGAAAGGGGCATGCTAATTTTCAACTTCAGAATAGGGAAATCTGCGGGGGGTTTAAATATCCCCCACGGATTTCCCTATTCTGAAGTTGAAAATTAGCATGCCCCTTTCGGAAAAGGGGCCAGTGTAGACGTAGCCTGTGAGACATATCTAAAATTAGATAAACCTAGGAGAGATTGAAGCTTCAAGGGGTAGCTGAGTTAGTCTGTACAGGATAAACTTTAAAAACAACAAATGGGCTGGTAGCACTTTATAGACTAACAACATGTAAATGGTATCGTGAGCTTTCATGGGCACAGCCCACTTCTTCAGATGACCAGTTTTTTAGGGGAGATGATGGGTAGTAGTTCTGTTTTTAATTAATGCAATTCTGGCTGCATATCTTTTAAGACATTGAAATACCAAATTGCATGTCTGTGTGCTTTAGATTTTTAAAACAATATGCTCTAAAAATCAGTTAATGCAGGAAAGACTTCTTTAATGATGGTGGGTTTGTGTTTGTTTTTTGTTTTAATCAGTGGATTATTTCTGAATTATTTAGTGTGAAAATGATACCATTTATTAGTGAAAATGTGAACCATTTCACAATTCTAACAGCATTTCTTGCTTCACAGGTGTAGATTCTGCATTAGAATCATAGAACCATAGAGCTGGAAGAGACCTCAGGTCATCAAGTCCAGCCCCCTGCTCTAGGCAGGACCAATCCCAACTAAATCAACCCAGCCAGGGCTTTGTCAAGCCGAGACTTAAACACCTTAAAGATAATCTCTTTTCAGCTCTTTTACTTCCATGGAATATACCTTAGCAAGGACAGATAAAGGTGTGGGACCTGATAAAAATGATGACAGTAACAGGTTTCTATATCTTGTTTACAATAGGTGGCAGGGAGTTGGCATTTCTTAATAAGAACTGTAGAGCTAATAAAGCTTATAGGTGCCTTGAGGTAGGTTTGACAGTTCTTGATTTGACTGCCACAGGGCTGCGTGCTTTAGAATTTCCTCAGGGAGAAAGAGGCACTTTTTGTTCAAGCATGTGTGTGTTCCCCCTCAGCATTTTTTGCTTTCTTTTTTGTTTCTCCTTTTTCACAGTTGCTAACACCCTGAAATGTAACTATAAAGCTCTTTGAGCCCTTTGTTAACTTTTTTACACATTTAATGCTGAAAACCAAATGAAGTGGATAAACTAATTTTGTTTCCACTTTTCTACTGAGCCTTGTACTAAGGAATACAAAAGTGAAACTAATTCTGCTGCTTCATATTTGTGGAGCAATAAGAAGCAGTCCCTTTGTGTGCTGAGCCACCGGGCTTAGCGAGCTGCTTGTTTGATTCCTGATCAGAACCTGTTTACTACCATTGGGTAAAGATTTACAAATATTTGTACTACAAAGTAAAGTGGTTCAAACCCTGACTGTTTGTTTCTACTTGTCACTTTCATCATCTACATTAGGAACTGGTGCATGCATAATCAAATTAGGGATGTTCAGTATTGGTTAATTGAATAGTTGATTGATGAATTCATATTGGTTACTGGACTATTCTATGGATCTGGGGGGTGGGGCCAGCAGCCAATGCACTACAGCTGCACTCCAAAGAGCCTCCTTGTTACTCCACACCGCTGTTTCTGTATCAGAGGTAGTAGGGCGGGGTGTTAGGTGGGAGCTGGTCCACGCGGGGGACATAGTTTAAAAACCAGCTCCTCTCGTGGACTGGCTGCCTGTTGCCCTGTGTTGCTGCCTTTTTATCAGAGGCAGCAGCATGGAGTGGCAACAGCCCCTGTTCATAGGGAGGGGATGTGCTCCTGAACCCGGCACAATCTGGACCTGAGCCAGACTGCCTGCCCACCTGACTTCTAATATACTTTAAATGCAGAGCTGCAATGGGGGTATGGTCCTGGACCTAGCTCAAGCCAGGACTAATTAGGCTGTTGGCCAGCCTGCTAAAAAATTTACTAGTGAGGGAAGGAGGGAATGCATGTAGTCTGTAGCATTAACCTAAAGCTTTTACTTATTGGTAAATCGACTACACTATTATATCCCTAAATCCAAATACAGTTTGAGACCGCAGAATCTAATGGATAAGTCAGTGGGCTAAGACCTAGGAAACCCTTGTTCTATTGTTGTCTGTGCCGGTGACGTGCGGTGTGATCTTGCTCTCTTTAGACTATAAACTCTTCAGCAACTTCAGATTTATGCAGTGGGCCACAACACCAGTTGAGGCCTCCAGGCACCAGCATAATACAAATAATAATTGCATAAAGGAGGGCTAGAAGGTGGAGAATGAGTTTAACATGTAAGAAAACTTAATCTATATTTATCATTGATTCTTGTGAAAATCGTCCATTTACATTAATGAAAATTCTGCAGATGAAATGAGAATAAAATCTTCTTAAATCTATATTCCTTCCACAAATGCTGTGTAGTTAAAAGTGGTGCTTAAGTTAATAATGAATCAGGAAATGAATTTTACATAAAATGTCCATGTGTATAATTAGAAGAAAAAAGTTAAGGCTACATCATATTAGAAGTAGCATGTTGAAGATGGAGGAGTGAACATTTTATCTATATTGACATATGCATATGCAGGCCAAGAGGGTTTAACTCAAATTTCAGAAAGAAATCAGCCTTCTGATTTCCTGTTTCCACTTAACTGGCTTGCCTAAATAAGAACAGCATCTTAAATCTGTGACACTTTAAGTGTTTGTAGGATAAACCGATAACATCTAATGTGCTAAGGAGATGTATAGTAATACTTACAGACAGAAGGGGAAATGGATCTCTTGAAATCTTATTCTGAAATGTTAAAGCCATTGATGACAATCTATCCATTGACCTGACTACTTTTTTTTTCTATTTCCCTTTAGGAACTTGTGCGTCAGGGTGAGGCACTAAAGCGCACTGAACGAATGGTGGATAAAATGGACCAGGATTTAAAGATCAGTCAAAGACACATAAACAGCATAAAAAGTGTCTTTGGTGGTTTTGTAAACTACTTCAAATCTAAACCTCCAGAAACTAAGCCTGAACAGAATGGGGCCCCTGAACACCAAGCAAACAGCAGGTGAGTAGAATTAGAATTTTAAGAGTGGTACTAGTCAGCTGAAATTGGCAGAGGCAGCAATGTATAGATGGGGCAAGGAGAGTTTTATTCATCCTTTTCCACTATTCCCATTGTCACATATTTGGGGGTGGGAGAGAGGTGTTCTGTCCTACTGCATGTGTCCCCCAACATGCTTGGACCTTGTCCCTGGAAGCACCCACAGTAATGTAAGGATGGAAGAACAAAACAGCCCCAATCTGGGTGTAGAAAGTGAGGGTTGCTGGGCAAACAAGACACAAGGCGGACGTGTCCTCCCTTTAGATTGTGCCCGTTTCCCTTCAGTATGGGGAGGTATGAGTTGTCTAAGGTTGGCAAGGAGACCTGCCTCTTAGAAGAGAAGTCTCACAAACTGATTCCGTGCACTGCAGGATGTAGACAAAAACACTACTTCATGATGCCCCTCTTTTAACTGAAATATCTTTCTTGAGATGGCATGTAAGGCCACTGTTTCCTCTTCTATTCTGAACCCTTCATAAAATCTACCTGCACAACTTAAAAGTAGCCAGCATGCTTTAGTTTAAATAACATAGTCTCCATTCTGTGTTCCATGAAGTGTACTTGCTTCACTGTGTAAAGGTGTTCTTTCTGACTTGTACTCTGTTGTTCTGTCTATGAAATTGAACCCCAATTCTGCATTTGAGTCTGCATAGGCACTAGAGTCAGTACGGGCCAGATTGCCTAGTATTGCCGCAGGTTTGTATTGATGCATGTAGATCTACTTCCGAGTGATGAGAAAATTGAATAGTTAAAGCATTTGAAGACAAAAGCGGTTGGTTTTTTGTTTTGTGTTTGGTTTGGTTTCGGGGAGGGATAGCTCAGTGGTTTGAGCATTGGCCTGCTAAACCCAGGGTTGTGAGTTCAATCCTTGCAGAGGCCATTTGGGACAAAAAAAATTTCAGGGATGGTAAAGGCGGGGGACTGGACTCGGTGACCTTTCAAGGTCCCTTCCAGTTCTAGGAGATAGGCAATCTCCATTAATTTTATATATTAAATATGGTTGAATTTGTGCTAAGAATGATTTTCATATTATCTAGAAAGTTTCTGTAATGGGAACGGTGCATAGACTTGTAGCTGTACAACCTTGTAAATAGTGTGATTTTTTTTTTTTATTTTATTTTAAAGGAAATCTAGAGGTAGAACCCTGCCAAAATCAAGCATACTGAAAAACTCCCACTTACATATCCTGTGGACTCGTATTTCTCTTCCACTTTACTAACATCTCTGAATGAATAAAAACAAAAGTTAAGCTGACTTTTTTAGAAGAGAACCATGTCACATTCACTTTCAGCAGAGCAACATTTTATGTGTTTTGTTTTGGGTGAGGGGGGTGGAGCAAGTGAGTTTATGGTATTTGGCTATTTGCCTTGGTGAGTACCTATATTGATAAAGACTGAGGGCTTGAATCTGTTTCCACTAAACTTTGTAGGAATTTTGTATTGATTTCAAAGAGAGCATTATTGAGCCCTGAAAGATTAAAAATGAATGCCACAGAGCAACATTTTATGTGTTTTGTTTTGGGTGAGGGGGGTGGAGCAAGTGAGTTTATGGTATTTGGCTATTTGCCTTGGTGAGTACCTATATTGATAAAGACTGAGGGCTTGAATCTGTTTCCACTAAACTTTGTAGGAATTTTGTATTGATTTCAAAGAGAGCATTATTGAGCCCTGAAAGATTAAAAATGAATGCCAGTAAACTTCTATGAGAAAGGGGTCTGGTTCTAAATACGAAGCAGTTTGTTGTCCTTAAAGGAATTTGGAGTCTAATCCTATTTAATGGATACAGAATTCAACCAATCGTTACTAAAAATATTTCCTTTTTTTTTCTTCTTTCCCTTCTTTTTACCAGATTAAAAGAAGCCATGGTTTTTAGTAAAGAACAGGAATCAAAGTACCAAGAGAGTCATCCAAATTTAAGGAAGCTGCGTAATTCTGGTTTGTTAACATATGTATTTTTGTCAGTGGCTTTGAGAGTACATTACATAGCTTAGACCTGTATCTATTTAGCATTCATGGTAAGAATTTTCATCACATAGAAATACTAACAATAAAAAGTTAAGAAGCTTGCAAGATTCAGTATTTTCTTTCCTTATGCATATGCAGCATAAGCAATTAAAAAACAGCTGCCTTGTATGTTCAAGAGTAGCCATATCCTGTGTCTATCAAATGATTAAAAATGGTTCAGAAAAATGGTTCCATTTGGGAACCCATGCACTAGAGGATACAAACAGCTGCTTTGTGACTTGCCCTTAAAGGGCACTGCTTGGCTTTTGTGGCTTAAGCCCAGGTTTTTTTTCTTGCTAAGCAATAGAAAGGAACACAGAAGACTTGAATTACTATTTCAGTTTACAACCAGGTAATTAACTTGCAAACATGGGTCTCTGCATATCATAAAGCCAGAGCTACTGACAGAGATGTTGGATTGAATATACTAGGTCTCCGTGAGAGTCAGATGACTGAAAGCCAGCTGTCAGTCAGCTAGGGTAATAGGAGCTTTGCTAGTACTGAACCATTCTTTTGTGTGTAAGGTCTAAAAGCATCTATGTTGTTAACAGACTATGACTTAAGTGGAACCAGTTTGGAATCTTCTGCTCAATCCGAAGTTTATCCAAAGAATCAACATCTCCGAGCTTACCACCAGAAAATTGACAGCAACTTAGGTGAGTTAGAAATTGAAGCTAATGTAACTTAACTTCCATATCTTGCTATTCAAAGCCTGAGAACTCAGACCAGTCTGTATCCAGCTATTTGTTTGCCTAAAACTTTGTTTAGTTTACAAACAGACTTTTGATCATAAAAGATCCTCTGTGCATGCTGTCCCTATTTCAAAAGTTTCTGCCTGGTAGATCTGTTACTACATGCTTCAGGCTAATCTTCATGATTGAGCCCCACCATGTTTTGCATATACCATAAATAGTACGTCCACTTCTGGTCCAAAAAGAATTTTGACTAGATAACACAGGTTAGCAACAGATCGAATTAAAAATGCTTTTCACATAAAACTAACTCTTTATTGGAACTGATCAAGATTGTTGCAATAATATAAATCTGTAGGGAACCTAAAATCTACTGTTGTTTTCTGGTTTTTATTTCAGTATTGGGATTTCATGAAGGCAAAAACAATTATTAAAAAATTTTGGTTACTGGACTGCTGAACAATTCTTTTTATAACGTGCCATTTATTTTTCATCCATTTAGATTCTGAAGTCTTTACAAATTCTTAACTTTAATGAGCTTAAAATGTAGACAAAACCAGAAAAAAATGGAAGGAATGAAAGCTTTAAT